CTATAGTAAGTAATAGTAAGTGGGATACCTAGCTTAGCCTTCCTACTGGGCATTGCTATAAGAAAGGTTAAAAAAAAAATATTTAAAAGGGGGAAAAAAAGGTGCTGAGGGAAATTGAGGAGGGAGAGAAGGGGAGCTGACGCACAGATGAGAAATCATATTATGCGCAAACAGAGAAGTCGTCTGAATATCACTGAAAGAGAAGACCTTTGTTTGTTCCTTACAAAAATCGAACCAGATATCAAATATTTAGTCTTGCAGCATCAACCTCAAGGATCTAATTAATCACTAGTAAAGGTAATTTCAATTTACTTTATTGTTTTCTCATTAAACTTTATAAAGTTAAAAACATTATAAACATGCATTAAGTAGATATAAAAAGATAAATGTACATACATTTATTTTTTTTAAAAAAAAAACCTCCTTTTGAAAAAATATTCTGCACTTGGGAGAAAACTGGTGGGCGGTAAGGAAATGTTTTCATCCAAAAAGATGCATTAGTGGGCGGTAGGTAGACAAAGGTTGACTACCACTGGTGTAGAAGAATGTATAAATGTGTGTGTGTCTGTCTGTCTGTCAGTGTATGTGTGTGTGTATGTGTCTGTCAGTGTGTGTGTGTGTCTGTCAGAGTGTGTGAGTGTGTGTCTGTCAGAGGATGTGTCTGTCTGTCAGCCAGTATGTGTGTGTGTGTGTCTTGCAGTCAGTGTGTCTGTCTGTCAGTCAGTGTGTGGGTGTCTGTCAGTGAGTGTGTGTGTGTCTGTCAGTGTGTTGGTCAGTGTTGCGATGGCCACAGCTGGACAGGGGAGGACCTGGAGGTGCACGGAGGCACACAATGCCATGTCACATTCTGACGTGACCTCAACGTGCTCCACCTTCATGGGTTTTCAAGAAGTAGCAGGAGGATCCGTTTGGCACAGGATGCGGACAGCGCCAATGGGGGTATATCAGACGCCGGACTCCGGAGTCGCATACTGGCAGCGGCAATGTGAGTGGCTAATTGTTGGCTAATATTGTTTTTTGTTTTTTTTAACAAGGGCTGGGGTTTAGTAGAGGGGGGTACTGTGAGTTAGTACGGGGGGGGAGCACTGGGATTTACTACAGAGGGGGTACTGGGATTTACTACAGAGGGGGAGACTGGGATTTAGTACACAGAGGGGGGCTGGAGTTTAGTAGAGGGGGTAGGGCTGCTGGGGCTGTGTAGATGTTTTTTTTTTATACTGTACTTTTCAAAACAATCCTACGTTTCTATGAAAATTTAAGGTTTTGTTTTTTTTGCGGCCCACATAAACTTAAACCTTGTTTATGTGGCCTGTGCTAGTCGTTGAGTTTGACATGCTTGCTGTAAATGCTCTCAAAATGTTAAAATGTATCATTCCTATTTTGTATTTTTTTTGTATATGCGGTCTATGGTACATTGTATGATTACTGGTGTTGTGCAGTGCATTGTTTTTGTTTTTTTTATAAATATGATTTTTATTTTTGATATAGCAAATAAGTTCAAACATGAAATAATAGGTCGGGAGACACGCAGATCTCAAGTATAGTTACATCTAGCAATGTATTTGACATTACACCATATTACCTCGGGCTCGCAGGCCCTATTATCATTATTTGCCTGTACAATCTGTATCCCCCTTTTATCCCATACGTTCTTTTTTTTATTAATTCTGTATCCCCTCTTATCGTAGATGTTTCCCTGCGTTCTAGGTGTTACGATTCTTTTATCAGGGTGTATGGGCTATCTCTTTGTGAGATGTGGATCCCTATCTCATGATTCCCTGTGGTCTGTTCGTTTATTGGCGCTGTCACCTAGCGTTAGTTGCATCCCACCCTCCGGGTCTCCTGTCTTTGTCTTATAACCTCTCATTTCCCGTTCCGGGGCAGGTTGGTCGTGTCACCCTAGGCGTCAGTCTTCTGCGTTCTATTCATGAGCATTGTTTGGTGGCATACTTGTGTGTTGCTGTTGGCCTCTACGGTGTATTAAGTCTTTCCTATTTCCCTGGGTCTCCCTCCTCTTGTCCGCTATATCAGCTAGTGCGTGTTCGTCATTGCTTCTGTTTGGCATGCCTTTTCTTGGTGGTCGCCTATCAAGCAACTTACGGTGCTCTCGTGGGTGACCGTGTCTAAATTGCTTTTGTTTGTCTCTTTGGATTCTAAGCTGGTGCTGGTACTTAAGCCGTGTGTGTTTGTTTGGTAGTTCAGACTAGTACTGGTGTGAGTGACTCCTGTAGTTTCTGTTCCTGTTCCGATCAGTGTGCCTTAGTGTTCGTCTGTTTCTCCGGCTATACCTGTACTGTTGGTGTGACGTGGTGTCCTGTGGGTTGTGGTGTCTTCATGTTCCTTGTATTGTGTTATTGTATTGTGTCCTGTTGTGTCTGTGGTAGGACTTCTCAATCCTAGTGTTGTTCTCTATTTGTGTTTCGTTGCTTCTTGGGTCTCGCCCTGTATTGTGTTTACTGCAGTTTGTTGTCCCTGGCTGGGTCAGGAAAAAAAAAAAAAGGGGGTAGGGCTAGGGGAGAGGGTAGTGTACGAGTTGGAGCGGGGGGGTTGCATGTTTGATGCATGAGGTCTACCCTTCCGGCGCGCCCGGGTCCCCCACCATCTCTCTCTCCCATGGTCACTATTGTGTGTCCAGTGGCGCGTCACCGTCTACGTTACATATGCTAGCCAAGGTCTCCAGGTCTCTGTATGCCGTTCTTCTCTCCCCAGTAGTTCTGCTATTTTGGCTTCCGCTATTCATATGTCGTCTACTTTGCGTTTCCATTGTTCTGTCGTGGGCGGGTCCTTTTTCTTCCAGTGCAATGGAATTAGAGACTTAGCCGCGTTCAGTAGATGTCTCAAGATCGATTTTTTGTAGGTGGTAAGGGGTTGTTCCGTGTGGTGTAGGAGGGCTGCTTCCATCATCAGGGGTGGGGGGTCATCCAGGATGGTTTGAATTTCATGTTCGATATTCCTCCAGTATGGCGCAATGTTTGTGCAGTCCCACCAGATATGCCGCAGCGTTCCAGTACCCTCGTTGCATCTCCATCAGGTATTGGTGTGCGATACCAGTGTGTCAGCAATTTGAAGTTTACCTCCTGGTAGTGGGAACTAGATGAACTCTTGTGTTGCAGTATCAAGATTTTTTCCCACTGGTCGTCCGAGACAGATTTGGCCGTCCATTCCTCCCATTAGCGTTTGTACAGGTTGTTTTATCTATTTCCTGTGATTAAGGTTTGCTATATCGCCGACACTCTCCCGTCTGCCTCCGGCGCTTGTGAGCATAGCGTCTCATACCATGTGAGATCTCTGTGAATTTTGGTCCTGTGCGGTAAGTTATGATAGTAGTGTTGCAACTGGGCGTAATGGAATTGGTGCGTGAGCGTGAGCGGGCTTCCGTCTGCTATTTTTCGCAGCGGCTTCACTCCCGCATTGTTGAGCACTGTGTGTATGGGTATGTATCCATCTTGGGCGTCTAGTGGCCAGGCGAACGGCGTGAGTCCATCTCCCAGATGTGGGTTATAGGTTATGGGGATTAGCGTACTCGGCTTGGGTGAGATCTGTCGTTCGTTTCTCAGTATAGACCAGTGTTTTAGTGTCTGTGTAACAGGAGAGTCCTCTCCAAGGGTTGTCTGTGCTTCCATTTCTTTGTGCCACATCAGCGAATACAGCCGGTTGTCTGTTGAGTCCCTCCATAGTGTCACCCACCGTTTGTGGGTCGAGGCTAAATGCAGTTCCCTCAGCCTCTGTAGGACCGTGGTTTGGTGGTATCGTTTGACGTCCGGTAGCGCTAGTCCTCCCCATCATCTCGAGAGGCAGAGTTTTTTGTAGCTAATTCGTGCCCTATCTCCTAAAATTGCCGTTTTAAGTATCGCGAAAAAAGTGTGCGGGATTGTTTGTGGCGCTGTATGGAAGAGGTATAGAATCCTGGGGAGGATATTCATCTTAATTACTGCTATCCTCCCTAGCCATGAGATGTGCGTGTAGTTCCATCTCTTGAGGTCTCCAAGAATGGTGGTCAGGAGGGGCGTGTAATTGTGTGCGTAGATGTCCTTCGTTTCCTGTGTGATCCACAGCCCAAGGTATCTCATCCGTCCTTGGCACCAGTGGAACGGATAATGACGTCTTAGTTGCGTGCATTCCTTCTCGGGTACAGTGACGTTAAGGATGTCACATTTCGTTAGGTTGAGTTTTAATCCTGAAAGGCGCCCATAGTTTTCGAATTCGGCCAGAAGCTGTGGTATTGAGTCTGCTGGATTCCTGAGGAAGAAGAGCATGTCATTCGCGTAAGCAGCGACTTTATGTTCGTGCGTCTTATAACTTAACCCTGTTATCCTCAGGTTTTTTCGGATGCGGTCTAGAAGCGGCTCTAGCGTCAGAGCAAATATGATAGGGGAGAGCGGGCATCCCTGCCTCGTGCCGTTCTGAAGCTATCTGTAAGGGCCCCATTTACCCGTACTCTGGCATTCGGACAACTGTATAGCGCTGTGATCCATGTGAGCATACCTTGTCCCATGCCCGTCGTGCGCAATGTCTCCATCATAAAGTTCCAATCTACTCTGTCGAAGGCTTTCTCCGCGTCTGTGGACAGTAGGAGCAGTTTCGTCTTTGTTTGTTTGGCTAGGTGTTGTACTGCAAATAATCTGAGGGTACAGTCTCTGGCCTCCCTTCCCGGTATGAAGCTAGTCTGGTCTGGGTGTATTAGTCTTGTCAGGTATGTTTGAAGTCTCATCGCTAGCACCTTGGAAAATAGTTTTATGTCAGCGTTAAGTAGCGATATGGGGCGGTAATTTCCTATCTGCTCTGTGTTTTTGCCCGGTTTGGGGATGACCGTGATGGTTGCGTCTAACGTTTCCCTGCTGAAGGAGTTTCCTTCACGTATGCTGTTGATCGCCTTAGTTAGGTGGGGTATAAGAATTTTTTCCGAATTTTTTTAGGTACTCTATCGGGAATCCATCTGGTCCCGGTGCTTTCCCGGTTTTTGCTACTTTCAGCGCTCGTCTGATCTCCTCTTCGGTGACCGGTGTATCAAGTTCTTCTGCTTCCCCCGATGTGAGGGCATCCGGTCTGAAGCCCCCTAAGTAGTCTGTCGTGTCTAACTCCCTCGTGTTTCGGGATAGTTTGTCTTCGTCCCTGCGGATATTGTATAACTGCGCGTAGAACCGTTGAAATTCGCTCGCAATATCTTCTGGGAATTGGGTTGTTGTACCTCGGGTGGTGCCCAGAGCATGGACTTGCGCTCCTCTCAGCATCTGTGCCAGTAGTTTACCCCCCTTATTGGCGTGCAAATAGAAAAATGCGTGATTTCTTTGGCGAGTTCTGGCATGTTTGCGCTTAATTAGTTCTGAGAGTAATCTTCTGTTCGTTACTAGGTCCCTGTAAGTCTGGTCCTGTAGGTTGCGTTTGTGGGTCATTTCCAGATCAGAGATCTTCTGTGTTAGTTCCGCTATCTGTTTTCATTCCTATTTTGTGAGATCACATTTCCTATCTGTTTACCTAAAAAATCCTTTATTGAATTCTCCCTGTTTTAGCTCCTCTATGCCCTGAAAATGCTCTATCTTTTGTCTTCCAAGTGTCGCTCCCCCAAGGACTTTGGCCTAAATAATAGTGAGTCCTTGGACAGAACACTAAACCTCTTAACTTTCTCAAGTCCTATTTGCAGATTTCTTATCTTATTTCCTATTTCATTATTTTGTTCTAACATTTTCCTACTTGAGGGGGTTGTTATTATACTTTTATTAATGGGTGGCAGATGTCTTAAACCTAATCCCCTCCCCTCATGCTTCCTTTCACTCTATGGTTAAATTTATCAGAAGGAAGGACCCTGCAGGTTGTCCCTCACATTACCAGTCTGCTCATTGGCATTATCCATATTTCAGACAAGGTCTTACATAACTGCCTCGTTAGCCCAAACCTTGCCTCGATTATATTTTTCCTGGCTTTCGTGCACTTAATTTATCAGTGGTTCACCCTGAGGAGCAAGTAATTCTGAACTCTGTTTGTCATATATAAAAACACTATCATCAGTGAACTCTCTTTTCACACTTTTAACAAAAATGTCATAATTGGGTATACAGACCGAATTGAATGCTGTCATAACTTCCCTTTTCCTTTATTAAGTTGTAGTAATGTCTGATAGTGACTTTTCATTTTTCTCGTTTGCATTTTAGTACAACCCTAATTCCCATCATTCTTAATAGTTCTTGAGGTCTATGGCTAGCATATTTTGACTTCCTCAAGAGATTTTAGAACAGGATCCATGTTCAGTGTCAAGAAGACTCCATTGACCAGAATAGTTTGGTGGTAGGAAATTTAGCCGTATGAAAACCTTTTTAGGCAATAAAAAACCTTTTTTCAATAATAGCCTATGAAATAGATTTGGACAGGGTGGTGGAAATAGCACCCATGGCAGAAAAAATGCCTTTGTTACTTATATATCCACTAATTCTAGACAGTCTACTGCTTAAATATTTTTGGGTGTTGTAAACCAACAGCACCTTGGTTGGACACATTTAATCCCCTGGCTAATGTTCTAATTACAACTATATATCTCATAAATTATAAATAAATTACATTCTAAATAATAAAAAGGCTTCCATGCATATTATTGTACAATAATGCCCTGGTCTACAGTACATGTCTGTTGGCTTTATGCAGGGTTCAAGTCCTAGGGAAAAAAGTGTGGGAACTCACCCAAGATCCACCCCCACCCCAAAAAATGATTTTATACGTGCGTATGCATATATATTTCTCAGACAATACATTCATTGCCCCCCCCTTCTACAAGATCCCATGCACCCCCTTCTACAAGATCTCCTGCCCCCTTCTATGAGATCCAGTGCCCCCCCTTCTACAAGATCCCTTGCCCTCCCGTTCTACAAGATCCCCTGCCCTCCCTTCTACAAGATCCCCTGCCCTCCCTTCTACAAGATCCCCTGTCCTCCCCTTCTACAAGATCCCCTGCTCCTCTGTACAAGACCCAATCTATTTAATTTAAAAATATATATTTAACAAAAAATCAGACTCCACTTACCATAAATCGAGGATCCAGCATCCAGGTGCCTGTTGCTGCGTTCCAGATTAAGTTGTATTGATTGTCAGCTTCCCTGGACAAACATTCAGAAAGTTTGTTTCTCTCTACTAATTGTATGCAGTTGTGTACCACAGGAATGGTGTCACTGCGCCTGTCTTTGGTCAGTACCGCGAATGCAGCTATATTTACATGGGAGGCAAGATACAATGCATCATTAGGTAAATTGTAATGGTACTTTTGTAATAGCAGACATTATGGTGTGTTTGACACTCCCATGACTGCCAAGATAAGGTTCACTAAGTTTTTCCAGTAGTTTGTTAATTTGGTAACTTAGCTATTTTTTCAACCTGGCTATTTTAATCATTATTAAAGTTGATAAATTCATTATTTAGACAATTTAAGGATACAATTAAAATATATTGCTTAATTGGATAATATACCTGGAATTATTAGAATAGATTAATTTTGATTACTGGATCTATTTTTTCCCCTTTCTTATGTGTCTTATGTTTGCGTTCTTACGTTTATTATATGTTCATCATTTTTTTCTTGGGTTTTATAAAGGTGGTAGAACAAAGACTTAATTTTCAGGCGCTCAGCGATTGAAGTGGCATACTGCGAGGTATAAGATGTTTCACATATTTTGTTGTGGAGTCTTCTGGTTTCCATTGCTCTACTGATGTCATAACTTGTTAGATTCACCACAAAGAACAAACCACTGATCTCTCTAGTTATTCTGTAATAGCAATAAACTGTGAAAAGCAAAAATAAAAAACACAAAGGACTCTAGTAGTAACCAATGCAAGAAGAAATAAACTAAACTCATTCATAAAATTAAAGTTTCTGCTGGTTCCAGAATTCTTGAATTGCTGTCACAGAAAGTAATTCCCTCTATGGACAATTTGATTTAAAAAAAAAATTAAAAAAATTATTTGCAGTGTTAGGTGAACAAAGGTCACTAAAGGTAAACAAAGCTCTAAAATGACTTGAGATGTGACAGCTTTAATGAGTTTGTACAAGAATTATGAAATCATTATTAAGTGTAATAAACACGTGTCAGCAGGCATTCCTGTTGAACTGTTTATGAAAGCAACATAAACACTTTATTAATAATGTCTTTTTAACTATATGCAGAGTGTGTAATAAGCCCTTGGCTTTGCAGTTGTTTCAATGGCAAATCGTTACATGATAAAAGATGATCCTTCCTCGCTGGAGTCGTCATGGTACTGTAGTGTCGCATTCTTGAATGCTGCGTACTGTCAGGAATAGCAGAAAGCCTGCTAACATTTCACATTTAATTATTTTTCTGCTAGATCTTTACTTCTCGTTGCGACTTCCTGAGGCAACATCTGGTGGCAATAACACAAAAAAAAAGACAAAAAAAAAACAGAGATAAAAATCAAAAGTATAAAAAACATTTAATGTTCATATATATGTTAATATATATATGTTAATATATTAGTTTCACCGTATAGCGCATCCGAGGAAAGGCAAAGCCATAATATCAATTAAACAAATTCATGTTTAATCCAAAGTTTTTTTTTTGTGTGTTATTCAGTTTTTTGGTAGGTGTAATTTTGCATACTACCTATATAACATAGCACACTGTCCGATAGATAGTGATAGTCAAACATTTGAGTACATTTCCTTGGGCGTTTCATGATCTGTCATTTTTCGCAGGTATTAGCCAAGTCTGGAGTATTTCAAAAGTATGGTGATTCATTAGGATTGCTTCTTAAATGTTCCACACCTTCATTCTTCAGCATGACAAGAACCCAAAAAACATTGCACAGTTATTAACAGATATTAAATATTGTCTATAAATTGTCAGCTCCTATGAGTGAGGGATAAAAGGAACATTATAGTATTAGAAATACAAATATGTCTTTCTAAAGTCATTTAGGTCCCCAGCCCCAGTCTGCAAGGAGTAAAAAAAGGTATTTTACTTACCCTTTGTCCCTTGTAGCTTCATTCTCCGTGGGGAAGCCCTGTCTCCTTAGATGAGATCATCAAAGCATTAGGAGGCTAGTAAGCATGCACAGCAAAATGCTATGCTAGGCCAATCAGACTGTTTTACTCTACTATTTGATTGGAAGCACCTCTAGTGGCTGTCTGAGTAACTGCCACTAGAGGCATTTGAACTTTCTCAGCTGCAGGGTTAAAACAGGGGGGAGATAAAGTGGTCTAGGTGCCTATAAGCGTCCCTGTTGATATTTTCTACCTGGCTCATATTGTGTTAATATTATTTGATTTTTATGCCCTGAACACAAATATATATATCTATATATATCTATCAAAGAGGAATCGTACTGCAATCCTGTGGGACACCACTTTACCCAACCTGGCTACTCAATGAAGGACCTAAAAATCAAAGTACTGAAAGGGGGTTTTAAAAATACCCAAGAAAGAAAAAAACTTTGAAACCAGAATGATCAAATTGTTTAACAGCAAGAATAGAGGACTAAATATTGATTTGGGTTTCCTGTCCCTCTACCAACACTTTACATGAACACTCCCCCACATTATCTTACTGTTCTGGTATATGTATCAACATTTTAAAATGCATTCCAATATGTTTATTCTATCAATATATAAAGTACTTTGTGAAGACCTATGCTTTCTCATACTCTTACGCACCAACAGCTTCTTCTCATCCTCCGCAATATTGGTCTACAAGATATTGCTCTCTCCTGGTGCTTCTCCTACCTCTCCCAGCGGTCTTTCAGTGTTTCTTTCTCTGGCTCTGCTTCTTCTCTACAACTCCTCTCTGTTGGTGTCCCCCAAGGTTCAGTCCTTGGTCCCCTGCTGTTCTCCATTTATACTGCCTCCCTTGGTAAACTCATTAGCTCCTTTGGCTTCCAATATCATTTCTATGCAGATGACATGCAAATCTACCTGTCCTCTCCAGATCTCTCCCCGTCCCTCTTGACTAGTGTATCTGACTGCCTCTCTGCTATTTCTAACTGGATGGCTGCCCACTTCCTTAAACTAAACTTGACCAAAACCGAAATTCTGGTCTTTTCTCCCTCAAGTGTTGTTACTCCTGTGTCTGTCTCCCTCCAAGTCAACGGTGCTATCATCAGCTCCACCACACAGGCTCGCTGCCTAGGTGTTCTCTTTGACTCCGACCTCTCCTTCAAGCCTCATATTCAATCTATCGCCAAATCCTGTTATTTCCAGTGCTCCCAACTTGCGCCGTTACAGTCCATAATGAATGCGGCAGTGAGGCTCATCTTCCTGTTCGCCCGCACTGTCCATGCCTTACCCTCCTGTCAGTCCCTGCATTGGCTTCCTATAAAATATAGAGCTCAATTTACAATTCTGGTTCTTGTTTTCAAATCACTACATAATGCTGCT